TAAGGTCTGATGCATAAAGTTGCTCCTAGTGTTAGTGGAGATCATTGAGACATGCAAGCAGTGTCTAGACAGAAGAGAATTGTTTATTTGAGCCTCCATCTGTGTGCTCAGAAAAGACAGGTAAGTTCTTCAATGATAGACTGGAAAAATGATAACATTAATGATGGTCCTGGCCAATCTGAGTTGTGCATGTAGGCCATCATGTGAGATCAGCATGAATGCAGAACTAGTTGCAGATGCAGTTTGGATTGATTCATACTGGTATAATGTACAGTGAGCCACTTTCAGTCTAACTGCCTAACTATTGAGCAACTTAGGGAGCTTGTACTGCAGAGGTCATTTAAAGATATCTGTTGGCAAACAAGGCGAGGGATTGTATCCAAGTCTGGATTTCTTTATTTTAAATGCATTAATGATTGTTCTGTTAAATTTTATTAACTCTTTGGAAAGCCTGCAGAAATCTCATTTCAAATTAGACAAGATTTATTGAGTGAAATATGTAACTTAGTCTGTCAATACCCCAGTCACTGTGATAATTTTGGTCTCTATAAAATTCATTTTACTCACAAATTTTACAGTGAATTCAGGAAAAAAAACAACTCTTTTCAGTGTGCATGTGACTTTGGTAAAATGATAATATATAGATTTGTGAGCAAGTTTTGAAATAAACCACTGAAAGCAACAAGGCTTTTTCTATATACATAAGTGTCCTGTTATTTCTGTATTTGGGTTTTTCATACCTTCTTGGTTTCAGTAATCTGTCTCTGTTCTTATTCCCAGGGTTTTTCTAAAGTTTTAACGACTAAACCTCAAAATCTTGAAGTTGCATCAGATTTTAATACTTACACAAGACCTGAGTTTTGTAGCAGAACTTGAAGCCATGAAACACAAACACCAAACCTCAGTTCTTCTAATGTTTTAAATCTTCTTATCTACAGTCTTTTAAAGTGCTGGGTAGGTTAGAGCTGGAATGCAGCCTTCAGGCAAACAATCAGAAAATACAGGTTACTACTCTTTTTGCTCCAAGATTAAGATTTTGCTGACTTCCACAATCTAATAGTGCATACAATACTGCATTGCTAAATAAAATCTTATTTAGAAGGTCTGTTGCCTCTAAAGAAGAAGGTCAGCTTACTGTTTCAGGGACACTATCATCAACTAAATTGACTAATTGTGTCCTCAGAAGACTCTCTATGATGCTGAAATTGTAGCAATGTAGACACTCTGAAAGGGATAAACTTGACAAATCAAATTCTGCCTTAGAGTTCAACAATGTATTTTACAGGTAGTTGTTTACTTTATCTTTGATTTCAAAAACAGAAGGAAAGTTAAAGAAGGTGCTGTTTGAGACTGAGAACAATATAGCACTTACTTTGACATCCTGTTGAAATTGGATTACAGTGAAGTTGCTTAAAAGTATTTTTAGGTGAATGAACCTAGTGCTTAGGGCAAATAAGTTACACTAAGATATGCAAAAATAAATTTCATGCATAAACATGGCATTATATTCAGTAGTGTTTGTGTTAAAATTTATGAGTTTAGATCTTGTGAAAAGTACAGCTCTTCTGCAAAGTTAACAAAATGGATGGAAATGTAGTGGCGAAATGCCAAATAACATGCACTACAATAATATAATTCTAAAGCTAAAAATATTTTATATAAATCACAACTTGTTTCAGAAAATTTGTGTAGCCCTTGTATGTTTCTTCATTCATCAGTGAGAATCCCTTATAATTCATGTATGTCTTGGGTGAGTAGTTGAATTGTTCTCCACATGATTTGTTTTTATAACCAATTTGTACTTTGAAACTTGAGTTGTTGAATGAGCGTGTTTAGTAAGGATCCTACAATCAAATCATTAATTTGAATTCCTGTAGCTTTAAGTCAATACAGAACAAACACTATTTTGATTCAGTGTTCTTGAAATCTTTGGAAAGAGCACTCCTTTAGCTCTGTGCTGCACAAATGACAATGGATTTCCTCTTGCTCTTTTTTTTTGTTCTGTAGTGTAATGTTATTTAAAAAACAAAAGGTTCAGTTGCATTTAGGTCAGTTATTAAAATACTGTTGGTCATTTCCTTTGACAGAACATTTCTATTGTGTTATACCAATGTCATTAGGAGGAAAGGTTATTCCCACTTGTCTGGCTGATATCAATACATACTGGCATATTACATCCTCTGGCTTTCTGGAAATGTTTTATTTGAGCAGCAGCTTGGGAACAGGAAATTTAAGGTTATATGTAGTCTGGTTTCAGACTGCATGATAGAAAATGTGTTTCCTAGAAGATGCTGTCTACCTGACAGATTTTTCTCTAGTATTTTGTAGAATTGGGTAAGCTTAAATGGGTTCAAGTTGCAAACAAATTTTTACCAGCTGTAGGTGGCAGACAAGGTAGAACAAAGTTTTGAGTCACTCTGTAGTACTTGAGGAACTTATATGAATTATATTAGTATGTCACCAATTCCTCTGGAATGAAGCTTATGTTTAAGATATAAAATGGGAATATTATCATTGCCATAAGTAGTTCCAACTGTCTAGAAGGGGGAGAAAACAGAGTACTTTTACATCAAGCTGTGGTCAAATGTGAAGTCTGGGACACTTTTAGAGGCATAGGTTCAAGGATTGCGTTTCAGTCATGTTGAGCAGCCCTTTCTACCAGAATTAGAGTGAGCAGGAAAATAGGAATACAGTTCAATCCTGTAGCTGTTCATGCATGTAAAACACAGAAATACATACTTCCTGTTGCTTTCACTGACAGGTTAGACTGGTACATTTTAAGTGATGATGCTGAAAATGGGAAATTCATTTTGGTAAGATCTTAATATATATTACTTTAATGGGAAAAAAGTATAACATTGTGGAAAGAGAAACTTGAAATATTAAGCCATCATACACATATACTGAAGTCTGTATGAAACTATTCCATAGGAATATATCTAAAGTCATTGAAAATAATAAAATGTATTACCCTTTTTAATGGAAATAGCCATCTTAGAGATCAGGCTATGAGTAAATTTCATTGTAGGGCTGAAGCATGGTGCCTGGTTGAGTAACTGATTAAGCTTTCTGTCTGCCTTTGCAGGGTATCAGAAGACAAAATTTATACACAAACTCATCTGTTAGTTTTCAGAGCTGTGGAGTCTCACCTTGCTAAGATCCTGTATCAGTCTGAGCTTTTTGTAAACCTCTTCATAAAGCTAAAACTAGCTGAAGTTGGAAGGAGCCTTTAGGTAGAGATCATTAGCCCAGTTGCCCTGCTGGGCAGGATCAAATAGATCAAGCTGTCCAGGTCCTTGTTCAGTCAGGTTTTGAGTATCTCAATGAGAGACTCAACAATTTCTCTGTGCAACCCATTTACTTGTGTTTGTTACTTGTATTTATTACTTTTAGTGTTACACAAAATATGAATTTGTTTATGAAATATCTGCAAATGCAACTTAAAGAAGTAACATGGCATCTAACTACATTGAATACAAATATGGATAAGAAATTTTATGAAGCTGCTGTATTATATCATCACTTAGTTGTAAAATGCAGGTATCTTTGCTAGTTCTGAGTTTCTTAATGTTCACTGTACAATTAATGGAATTTAAAATTCTGTTGCAGCTAGTTTATTGTCAAATGTCTGTGTGATGTGCACCCTTCTAGTACCTAAATGGGCCCTCAAGAGAGCTGGAAAGGGAGTTTTTGCAACAGCATGGTGTGGTGGGAGAAAGAGTAGTGGCTTTAAATTGAACTAGGATAAATTAAAATCAGATATAAGGAAGAAATTATTCACTGTGAGAGTGGAGTGTGAGCCACTGGAACAGTTGCAGAGAGAAGCTGTTGATACCTTATCCTTGGAAGTTTCGAAGGCCAGGTTGGAAGGTGCTTTGAGCACTCTGGTCTAATGGAAGGTGTCTGTCCCCTGAGCTATATGATCTTTAAGGGCCCTACCAACCCAAACAGTTCCATGATTCTATGAAATGCTAATTAATTTTGCTTATACTCAAAGCTCACCAAAAGCCACATAATTGTATTAACATGCTCTGAGGTTGTGTCAAGAAAACTGCCAGAAGATCGTAGCACAAAGCATATGAGCACCTGAGTACTTTCAATCAGTGCTGTCTCTTGTCCTAACAGCATGGACTGCAGGGCGAGTCTTCCTTTGTCTTTCACATAGGTCCATTTTTGGTCAACTAGATGTAGGCATGCAACATTGGTCACATTAGGTATGGTTTGTAACACCAAGTACTTCCTGATTAAAACCTACTGTGCACAGAAGACTGATCTAAGCCAATTATAGGAGTGGTAACAATGTTACTGACACAGTTATCTTAATTGTATTATCATTTTTATTTCTGTTAGCTGTATTTCTTGAAATACAGTGAACCTGTAATAAAAAATTCTGCCAGGCATATTAAAGAGATTCTGTATACAGGTGACATTTGTGTTAAGGGGGTGAGTCAAGGTAATTCAAGTGAAGAGACAGTTAAGGTGAAATAAATCACAAGGCTGAGGCAAGAGACAAGAACCCATTTTCTCTACCACTGGGAAGGTAGCCACTGTTTGAGATAATGGAGAAGAGCAGTTTCTGTAGTTGGTGTTAATTTGCTATATTCATTTGGTTGACTGCTTTTTGAATCATTTACTGTGCAAGGTTACTTACCTAATGCTTGTGTGTTATGTATCAGTTTTAATTTAATTAAAACTTTGCCAGTTCCCAGATGCAACAGTATAATTTTAGGAAAGAATAGAATGGTAATTTGGGCTTATATAAGTCTGTTAGTAGCCCTGTTATCAGTTTCATGGTACGTCTCTTATTTGATATTAAGCTTCTGCTGTTTCACCTGGCTTTCTTCCAAAGCATGGTAGAATCTTTGTATTCTAATGTTACGGTTTAGCTTTGTCACAAAGGTTCCACGTGCATTTGTGCCTCTGGTATCAGTACGGAAGGGGGATCGCTTGTCTTTTATTGCTGTAAACAATTTTGCTCTTTGTTCTTTTTCACTCAACAGAATTTAGCTTCCTGGAATCCTTCAAACCCTGAATGCCTCCTGCTTGTTGTGAAAGAGCTTGTGCAGCAGTATCACCAATTTCAGTGCAGCCGATTGCGGGAGAGCTCTCGGCTCATGTTTGAGTATCAGACTTTACTGGAAGAGCCCCAGTATGGAGAAAACATGGAAATCTATGCTGGCAAAAAAAACAACTGGGTAAGCTCTTATTTAGTCTAAAATGCTTTTAACAAATACAACTCTTGCTTTAGAAAAGTTAAGTTCTTCCTGAGGATCTCCATGCTTTCTGTTCCTAATGGAGAAAACACCTGTTTGACTTCAGCTCATTTTCTGTATTCCCTGTTTTGTATGTTGCTGTGTTCCATTACCTGGTTGAACCAGATTTCAAGGTGAAAAATGAGTTTGAACCTGGTGTTCATTCATCTGGTTTATAGGTGAAAACTTTGAAACTGTTGAAATGCCTGTGCTGTGTTTAGAGGTCACAGCGCAACATTAATGTAGAAGTTTGAGTTAGCTTTGAAGATTTGAGAGGCAGAATAACAGTATGTTGGGTATGACACCCTGCCAGCCTAGCAGCCTGCTTAGGGGGTAGGTTGTATTAGGGTGTGTTTCTACATGATAATTGAGTTGATTTAATTGGTAGCTGCTAGTATCTCTCTTGCACTTGTCTAAGTTGAGTTGTTCTGGGAGAGGAGAGGAGAGGAAAAACTAACCCAACTAATGTTCTGCAAGAGGAGGCAAGATGGGCTAGAGCAGTGACTTTGTAGGACATGCTTTCATATGACAATAGCATACTCTTAAGATAAACTGGCTTTCAGAAGTAGTATCTTCTGAAACAGTGCAGTCTGAAAACTGATGAAAATTTAGCACTCCTGTTATCAAGGCCTAGAATTCAACTTTGTCACTTCAGTCATCCTTAAGTTACCGGTGATTCAAGGATGTTTACTTTGCAGCTCACACATTCATCTGGTTTTCTTTTCTTAGACAAGTCATCTAGGCTTTTTTAATTTGAACCTAGATTTAATTTTCTTCATCAAAGAAATTCAGACCTCATCATTGTTTATAGATCAGAATATTAGATTGAAATTAACTTATTCACAGGTGTTATTGTCCATAGCTTGCATCACAAATAACTTGCTGTATCTCCGAATTTCATCAGACTGGTTTATTGAAGTGCTGAAGGCTTTCTGAACTGTGAAATTTTATCACAGTTTTTGCCAGCTGCAAAAATTCTACTCAAGATTGTAAAAAAACTAGGGGGTTTCTTTGTTTTTGAGAGGAAAGACATTTCTACTCAGGCCTTTTGAGTCTTTTCTCAGTCTTTGGTGACTGAATAAAGAACTTTATTTTCTTGAATTTTGAATGCTGTTTTAATTAAAAATATTCCAATAAAAAAAAATTTAAATGCATTTTTAGTCAAATCCTTTTCATATAGCAGAGCTATAGCTTTTTCCATAGTGCTTGCTTTTTTCCAAGTCTTTATTGTCTGTCAAGAAGACTCTTGAGAGTCTTGAAGATTCTATGAAACTTAATATACATGACAGAGGCTTCTTTACTAATGTCCTAAAACAAAACTGTGAAACCACCTTGTGTAGTTCTTTTTCTTGTCCTTTACAACTGTTTTGTTAGCCTCAAGGATCAGCAAAATAGGACTTTTTTTAAAAAAGCAGGAGTAAATGGCCATTTATCTTCTCTGCCTAGAAGTTGTTGAAATTCACGTTGCTGCTGTCTCTCAGGAATCAATAGTAGTTCAGCAGATTTCTGAAATAATCAAGTACAAGCCTTGCACAGTGTTATAAAACCAATCATCTTAGGTGCATAAGTTAAAAATACTTTGAAGAGAAGGCCTGAATTCAGCACTTTGGCCCAAAATGGAAATTTGCTCATATACCTTTGTTCCACTGTGTCCAGTTTCCTAAAGTGGAAGTCTCCAAGATGTATAACAAATGGACAAACTATTATCTAGCTTTGTAGCTTCATGTTGGCGGAGTACCAGCAGATGCAGGAGCCCATTGAATACCTAATTGCTCAGGGCTGTGGCCAGAAATTCATCTGTCTCAACTTCATGCCTGTACCTAGTTTGTTTGGGCTGAGGAGGTGAGCACCATGGACAGGGGCTGCTCCCTGTCCAGCCAGAACACCTTTGGAAGTATGAGTTTGCAAAATAATCTTGATTGAATGATATGAAAGATCTAGACCTTTTAGAGCAGCTTATGATCAGAGCAGCATTCATCAGAGGTCATTCATCTGTTTAGTGGCCACCCCAGTTCATCAGACTTGGTATGATACCAAAAATAATTTTCTGGATGTTATGGTAAATGTGGTATGGCATTTTTTTGAGAGTCCAGAAGAGAAGCACTATCTGTAATATCCATTTCACTTCAGATAGGAGGTGAGGACCCTGACTGTCATCATAGCAGTTACACATGCACAAAAAGTTGGTGATTTTTCTGCATACATCAGTGATACAGCAGCAGGAAGTTGGCATTTCTCCTCACAAGTAGTGTAATCACGAAAGGTTTCACTGTTGGACTTTAATGTACACTCACTTTTTGTTGTGTAGTGTTTCTATGAGCAATTTCTTTGACTATCTTGTGTGACTACCAGTTACAAATTTTAAGGGCAATTCAATTAGCTAGCTGGCATAAGGATGGATTACAGCCCAACATCACACAAAACCTTTTGGCAAATGATATAACTTGAAAGGTACCACTGGGAAGATTTCAGTAGCATTCCAGATCTTGTTTTTTATTGTTCAGTGACTTAAAGGTGGAATGAGTTATCTCTAGTTCATGCCTGGTAGATAGACCCAGAAGCAGATTGGCACTTACAAATTGGCTAGCTTGTCTCAAATTATCCCAGTTTTTTGTACTTAATTGCACAAAATCAATGTTTAACACTTTCTTTACTCCTTATTCAACCTACCTAACAAATATAGCTGCTGTGTGACTATTTTATTGAACTAAAAAAAAAATCTAGATGAAAAAAATTAATATGGAGGAAATCAGGCAAGCATTTGTTTTTAAAAGCAGTTAACTTTGCTTTATAATCAGGTGGACAAAGTCTGGTTTTAAGGAAGTGTATGAAACAGAAAGGAAATCCTTTCTATTTCCTTCACATGCCCTTTATACGTAAAAAAGAGCAATGTGTATGGGACACTTGGCAGATTTTCAGTGAATGGTTGTCTAGGTGTTTAGAGTTACATAATTCCGAAAAGAAATTTTTTAAAACCTTCTACTTCAGCTCTTTTCCTCTGGCATTTTTCAGAGGACACTTTTGGTACATGCTCACCTTTCTGAACACAAATTGTCTTACATAGATCTGCGGTGTTTGTAAATGCTTCTGTTTTATCTATATGTTCTTATCAATTTGTCAGGTTTTTAGCTTTGCTTACAGACTCTTTGCAGTTCTTGACAGACCTTTGTCCGGAAATGAGTACAGCCAAGATATATCTATATTTAGAGTGTAACAAAATATAGTCTGATTTTCTGTCATGCACATTGTTTTATTCTAAATACTTTTTGCTATTGATTTACTGGCAATGAGGGTTAATGTTTTTTAAGGTGTTTTTCATATGACACCTGTGAAATCTCTGATTTTTTTTTTATTTTTTTTTTTTTTATTTTTTTTTTCCTCTCCAGTAGTTCTATCTAGCAATTTTATTTTAAATCTCAACACTTTTCTTCATATGAGCTCTTACATGTTTTTCTGGATAGTATTTAATCTTCAGGATGTTTGTGGCTCTCTTTTAGCTACCAGGTCTTATTAGTGTTACTTTTTTCCACAGACTGGAGAATTCTCGGCTCGCTTCCTCTTGAAGTTGCCTGTTGATTTCAGCAATATTCCTACATACCTGCTCAAGGTAAAAACCACTGTCCAAATTGACAGTATTTATGAGAGAGTATGAATTATTGCAATCTCCTTAGTAATTATTTTGACTTTCCTGCCTTCCTGCTCTGCAAGAGTTTGACAGTTCACTATTTCTAAGACTGATTGCATTATATTTTGGAAAGGTGATGTTGGATACGCTGTTATTTTGCAGGCCACTTTAGTGGCATCTTTTATGTGAGTCTGGAATTTCAAGACGTGTCAGTGCTGGGATTTTTAATGAACAGTCTCAATTGTACCAGAAGTCTTGATAGTAGAAGCAGAAAAGCAAACTAAATATACAATTTCTTAACAGGGAATGAAGGCAAATTCTGGTTACTTTAACTAAAAGCTTCAGCTTTACTTTGCTTCATTGTTCACAATGAACAGAAAGTTGGCCAGATACTTTTGAAAGTAGGACCATAGAGTATTTTTACAAGTTGGGATAAAAGAGTGTTTATTTCTTTGCTAAGAAAAAACAATTTGTGACAAACTACCTCCATGGAAGAATTTAAAATGAGTGGTTTTTAGAGCACGGGGACAGTCTTTGTTTGAAGCAGCTACTGTGGAAGCCTATCATAAGGTCGATGTTACTATATTTAGAGAATGCAGTGAGAGATCTGTTTTCTCTTTCTATCATGACTGTCAGAATGAAGTGCCAGAACTTCCACTGCAGACAAGGTTTGAGTCAGTTGATGTTGCCAACACTCATCTTTCCTTTAAACCATGTGTCTGCCTTCTTTTGCTTTTAAATATTTGGAAAGAGGAACAGCTACTTAATCTTTAAAAACTAATGTGTTGAGATGAAATTGTCAGTGTGGATTCCATTACCTCCTCTTCATCTTATTGTTAGAGCTGTCTTCAATTGTTAAATCACGATTGCAAGTGTGAGTCTTCAGTGTTTCACCAAATAAGATGTCTCAAGCTACAAACCATGAAAATAAAGGCAGGCACAACTATAATCTTGGCTGAAATTTTTGGTTGCAGTTTGGGATTTTAATCCTATGATCTTTCTACCTTCTATAGATTGTTTTCTGTTTGAATAATGAGCTGCTTCTCAAAAGTATGCAGATACTTTCAGTAGCAACTCTTCTCCCAGCTGCTGTCTTTCAATGGGCTTTGTCTTCTCACTTTATGGGAATGTTTCTGGTCAGATGTAAGAGGGTTGGCTAAGGCCTTTTTGGGAAGGTTGGTGTTGCTGCAGGATGCAGCAACGGTTCACCTAGACTGCAGGAGAGCTGTGATTTGCTTCTGAAAGACACTGGGAAAAAAAAGAAGGCCAAAAATGTATAATGTGAACTGTGCTGTCTGCTTCTGCCACATCTCCCAAGTGCTGTGTTTTTCAGGAGCAATTTTAAATAAGTCAAGAATTTCAAGACAAGTGCAGAAGAATATGTAGGTTCAGTTGCAGGGCTGTCTTGTACCTCTCTGTTCAGTTTCTGGGAAAACTTGCAGGTTGGAAGATGGTGTATGACTTATGTACCTGTCATCATGTAGGAACACCATGATAGTATCTGCTGTTTCTGAAGAGTAACGTTTTAATGCATGACAGCATACTCCTCCGTACTGTAATTCCCAATCATGTTCACTAAACATCTCCTCTAAACAAGGTTAGTATCCTGTGGGTAAATCGTTAGTGCTCCACAAGTCTCCTCTTGGAGCTTTGTTCATCCTGAGTACTGAGTGATTCATTAGTCTGAAGGAAAACTTGTATTTATTTTGTGTGTATATGTAGTGTGAGGTGAAGACACAGAGCAGACAGCAGAATCAAAGTTTCCCAGTCTGCCTTTATTTTGATGTTTCAGAAGTTGTAATGTCTTAACTTTGGATTTTTAAAATTAATGTATTTTTTTCTTATAGCATAGATTTTTACAGCAGCGGATCCTTCTTGATGGGCAATGTACTAGTGAAATCCTTAGTTGTCTTGATCAGGCTTCTACAGTGCAAGCTGGCAAGTTAACTATCTGTAGTAGGAAAGTGACATGTAATCTGGCTGAGTAGCCACAGGAGAAGAAATATTGCTGTATTCCAGAAGTATTTGTTGACAGTAGAAAAATGGCTTGATTTAGGCTCCAGCATGGGTTATGACAGAGTGTGCTTTGTAGCAGGTAGGATCTTATACCCTTGCTGCCTCTAGCTTCCTGTACTCTGAGCTAGATGAATGTCATCTCTTGTGACAACAACATAAAAGCAAGTAGAATCGTAACTACTCTGTTGTGATTTAAGTAATTGTGCTCTGACTACTCCAAATTCGTAAAACTATTAAACAAAAAAGAGGTTTTTATTTTTTAAGCTGTCCATGTCTTTTCTTTTTTGGATGAGACTTTTGACATGAATAGGCTTTTAATATATTGCAATAAAATAGTTTATTTTCCATCATGGCTGTCATGCTGGTTATGATGCTACCTGCTGGATTATGGTACATGATTGATAGAGCATCTATTGATGAAGTGGAAATAATTGTTAATGTATTACCCTGAAAGGTGGAAGAGCAATCAGTAATTGAAGTCTCTTAATGTATTACCAGCTTAATGTTTTACTGCAGAATTTAATATGTTTGAATTATGTTCTAGTCTGTAGCCAACCCTATAGTGTGCAGTAGCTTCTGTGTAATGATTTGCAAAGTTCAATCTGTTGTGCTTCCTCTGACATCTTTTTTATATATAATTAATACTTCTTATGTTAAAATCTGGTGAAACATTAAAGACCATTATTTTTGCCTAATCAATCTCCCCTAGTATCCCAGTGATTTCAAATGCTCTTCTGAAGTTTTTATTGATGTCAGTAGGTAATCACACTACAAGCATGACTGTAAAGCTTTGTTTTATAAGCAAGTATTCAGGTTTGAGGATGTAAGCTGTGAGTTCAGTACGTAGTGTTACAAAATCTTTGGGATTGTTAATAATGCACTCTGGAATCCTAAGGTGTTATTCTGTCAACTTTGTCCTGACTGTGGTGAGAGTACTTTTTCAATAAAAAATAAAAGTTTGAAGGTATAGTATAAGTTGGATTGTTATGGACTAGAGAGGTGAATTTGCCAGGTTATTTCAAAGGTATTCATGGCACTAAATTTAAATTTGAGTTCAAGTGTGTGTATGTTTTAAGTAAAATAGCTGAAAAAATTAAGAAGACTGAGGATAGTTAAGAGCAATGCAGAGTGTACAGTTTCTTCCTTTTAATTCTAAAATTGTAGCAAAATTTCTTCAGTTACTCTAGTAAAATTTCTTCAGATTTTTAGTTGGAAATATAATACCCATTATATTGTCTGCAGCAGATAAATCTCTCTTCATAACTTCTCTTGGCATACTCCTTTACATTTGAAAGAAAAAAGCATCATTGTGTATTTTCTATGCTAAAGAGCTGTTCTAAAAGAAATGTTGGCTTACACTTAAAAAGCACATTCATTATCTTTTGCTTTAGCAAGTTATACTTTAATGCAAAGGTTTTTAATTGAATGTGGACCTTTGTATCCACTTTCAAATTGTTTTCTTATGCAAATACATTTGATATAAGTGAAAGCTTTGTGTTGAAATAGCCACAGAATCAAGCTGATGGCTCAAACTACTACAAAGTTTATTATGATAAATCTTTCATTAAGTTTCTCGTATTTGAAAATTAATGTGGATTTGGCCCAAGAAAATCCTTGTGTACTTTGCCTTTTTTTGCAGTAGGATATTTAATCATCATGTTCATTTTGAATTAAATTCTTTTCTGTTGGTTGCAGCATTTTTAATTTTCTCAACAATATTTTATAAAGGGAAGTATTCACTGTTCATATTCGTTTTGAGTATTCACTGTAATGTATTCACTGTACATACTCATTTTGAGAGTCTCTACTTCACATTTCTGCCTCTTTACAGATACTGTGTACACTACAGTAATGAAAAACGTAGAAGGCTCAACATCTAAAATACCTCCTTTGGATTTTCATAGAATGTTTTTGGTTGGAAAAGATCATGAAGTTGAACCATTAACCCAGCACTGCCAAGTCCGCTAATAACCCCATGCCTAAGTGTCCGTCTATACATCAAATCAACGCTTCCAGAGGTAGTGACTCCATCACGTCTCTGGGCAGCCAGTTCCAGTGCCTGATAGCTCTTTCAGTGAAGGAATTTTTCCAGATATCCAGTCTAAACCTCCTCTGCAACTTGAGACCATTTGCTCTTCTCCTGTTGCTTGCTACCTGAGAAAAGAGGCAGATCCCCATCTCATTACAACCTCATTTCAGGTGTTTGTAGAGAGAGATAAGGGTCTTCCTTGAGCCTCAAAATCTCCAGAATAAACAACCCCAGATGCCTTGTCCACTCATCATAAGAGTTGTGCTCCAGACCCTTCCCCGGCTCTGTTGCCCTTCTCTGGACAGTCCTCACCACCTCGATGTCCTTCTTGTAGTGAGATGCCCAGAACTGGACACAGCACTCGAGGTGTGGCCGCACCAATGCTGAGTACAAGGGCATGGTCACTGCCCTGCTCCTACTGGCCACACTATTGCTGATACAAGTCAGGATGCCATGGACCTTCTTGGCTACCTGGGTACATTCATTCTGTGTAGTTTTGTTTCTTTCTCGGTAGTTTTTGTCAGCTAGGGGCACATATGTAATCATAATGACAAATCATGAAAAACCACCCGCTCAGTAATTTACAAGTTGTACTTGTTTATGTGACTGTAATATGACTGCACAGTATTAGTAGATTTCAGACTAAGTTGTCAGTGATGCTGTTAAAAACAAGACATTTAGGTATTAGGTATTTTTTTCTTCTTATTTCCATGGGGATTTTTAATGTTTTGACTAAGTAAGATGTTCCCTTATTAACACCACCTTCTTTTAAAGTACTCATTTCCTATGTGTATGTACCTGCTTGTTGTGCTCCAGTGAATAACTAATATGAGGACTAATTTAGCTATGATGCTGTGACCAGCAGCCTTCCAATAATTTCTCAGTATTGAAGTGTAAAGGAAGTACGCAACACAGACCTGTTTCTTTAGATACTTTT